ATGTAACAGACTTTTAAAATCTCATATTTTAACTTATTTAACCATTATTTTAAAGCCAATTTAGCTCACTTTTAAAATTAAAACTTTTAAATATTTCCAAGGAAGCTTTTGTTTTTTTATTTGTTTGTTTGTTTGTTTCTAAGCATTTTTTTAAATAAAGTCAACAAATGCTTAAGTACTCAAAGATTCAAAAATATTTCTATTTCCTTTATAAATTATTGGCAATTTAACTGCATGTAGAATTCTTGAAATAAAGTTATCCTTTCAAACTCAGTTGACATTCTTCTTCTATTTCCTTTAAGAGCCTCAGGCTAGCCCAATTTTTTACTGTTTTTTCTTACAGCATTGTGTTGGGTCACTTTTGTTCTTCGTTTAATATTTTAGATTCAAATATTCATCTAGTGTAAGTGTTTTATTTGAAAGGAAATCTTTCCTTCTTTCCTCATACTTATCTATCTTTATAGATTGTCCTCTACTGGATATTTTAGATAAATGGAATCTTACTTAGTATAATGTTTTCAAGGGCCATCTATATTGTAGCATATATTAGTACTTCAAATCTTTTTATGGCAGAATTTCATTCATTGTATGGAAATAACACATTTTACTTTTGCACTCATTAGCTGATGAACATTTTTTTTTTGTTTCCATGTTTTAGGCATCATAAATAATGCTTCTATGAACATCCCTGTAGAAATTTTTGTGTGGGCATATATTTTCATTTCTCTTGGGTGTATACATGCAAGTGGAGTTTCTGGGTTATATGGTGACTCAATGTTTAACCACAAGTCGAATTCCCAGGGTGTTGTCCAATGTGGCTGTACCATTATACATTCCCAACAGCAGTGTATGAGTGTTCGAATTTCTCTACATCTTCACCAATTCTTGCTATTATGTGTCTTTTTTATTACAGCCATCCTAGTGTAAATTAATATCTCATTTTTATTTCAGTTTGCATTTGATAACTAGTAATGTTGAGCCACTCTTCGTGCTTGCTGAGTATCTTTTTTCCTTTTTTGGAGAAAAGTTTATTCAAGTCTTGCCCATTTCTACAATTTGATTGTCCTTTGTTGTTTTGTTGTAAGAAGATTTTTAGTGCTGCGTTTTTTCTCTCATTCTTACATTGTCTTCTCACTTTGTATATAGTGTCCTTCAAAGGGCATATTTAAAATATTTTTGAAATCAATTTATCTATTTTTCTTCTGTAGCTTATATTTTTGGTGTCTCTCTCTCTCTCTCTCTCTCTCTCTCTCTCTATATATATATATATATATATATATATATATTTTTTTTTTTTTTTGGTGTCAAAATATATATCTAAGAAACTGTTGCCAAGTCAAGAGTTCATAAAGGTTTCCTCCTGTTTTCTTATAAAAAATTATAGTTTTATATATTTTTTACATCTAGGTTTTTGATCCATTTGAAGTTACCTTTGCATATGGTGGGAAATATAGCTTTACTCTTCTCCATGTGGATACTCAGTTGTTACAATACCATTTGTTTAAGAGTCTATGTTCTTTCTCTATTAAAGGATCTTGGTATTCTCAATGAAAATCATCTCACCATAGTGGTATGAGTTTACTTTTTGACTCTCAATTTTATTCCATTGGTTTGTGTTTTGTCCTTATGCCAGAATCCTACTGTCTTACTTATTGAAGTTTTATAGTATATTTTGAAGTCAGGACATGTGAGGTCTCCAACTTTGCTAGTTGTTGTTTTTATTTTTTATAAGATTTCTTTGGATATTTTACATCTCTTGAAACTCCATAGAATTTTAGAATCAGATTTTTCATTTCTGCAAAAACTGTTCTCTGGGATTTTGACAGGGATTACATTGGTCTTGTACATTGTTTGGGGATTATTGCTATCTTAATAATATCATGTCAATCCATGAACATGGAAGGCTTTTCCACTTATTAGATATTCTTTAGTTTCTTTCACTAATATTTTATCACTTCAGTATACCAGTTTTGTACCATTTAGATAAATTTATTCCTACATGTTGTATTATTTTTGATGCTACTCTAATGAAATTGTTTTCCCTTAATTTCATTCTCATATTGTTTATTGCTAATGTATACAAATACAATTGATTTTTAAAAAATCTTTTTTATAGTTGTAGAAGGATAGCATGCCTTTATTTAGTTTTTTATGTGGTGTTGAGGATCGAACCCAGTGCCTCACACATGCTAGGCAAATGCTCTGCTACTGAGCTACTTTATGCTGGTTTTATATCCTGCAATCTTATTCAACTCTTTTCTTACTTATAATAATTTTTAGTGGATACCTGAAGACTTTCTGTGTATGATATCAGGTTGTTTATGAATAGAGATGATTTTACTTCTTCTTTTCCAAAATGAATACTTTTTATTTTTTTCTAGCCCTAAATATAACCTCTCGGACAATGTTGACTAGAAATTATGAGATCAGATTTTTGTCTTGTTTCTCATCTTAAGGGGAAAGCATAGAGTCTTTCATTATTAAGTACATGTGAATTTTTCGTACATGTCCTTCATGAGGTTGTCTTTCTAGTTTGTTGAGAGTGTTTATTATGAAAGGGTATTGAATTTAATTCTTCCAAGTGTTTCTTCTATCCAATTTAATTTTACCATCTTTTACAAAAAAGAACTGGATAAGACGTATGAAGTCAGCTTTCTCATCATTTTATCTTTTGTTTCTTGTTATATGTGCTTTATATTCAAGTTTTTAAATTTTTATTTTTAAATAAAATGCTTTTTAAAATTCTCTTTTATTTCTTCAGTCTAAATGATGCTTTTTCTTCATATCTTGAACACTATGGTTCTCTTTCGAAAAATATTTATTTTGGCTCATTTTTTTCCCTCTATTTTTGAGCCAGAACAGGCCAATTGTTCAGTATTCAAGGTTTTGAGTGTTCTGCCATCCACCTTACTTCTTGTTGGAATGCTGCCCTGGGTCTTGATGTAGAATGGTAATTGTAGTATAAAGGCCCTTGTCAAAGTTCTGTGTCCAACTTTCTCTAATTTAATGTGGGGCACAGGGCTGAGGACTGGTCTCCTGTTTCTAATGATGGGTTATCTGACTGTCAGCAAGAGGATTTCCCCTAGAAGCTTTGGGGAATATGTTCACATATGTGTCCCTAACCAGCCCCCACCAGAGTGCTGCCCTGGTTGCCCCTCCTACTGCTGTCTCCTCTCAGGACTCCATCCTCAGGGACCACTGCTGTTCAGTTCCTGAGTCTAGAGGGAGCCTGAGAGTGGAGGCAGACTGCAAGTACAGGTTCAAGGGTGGCAAGAAATGACCTTAGCCCTCACCCCCCATGAAGCCCCTGTAACAAAAACCAAAACAGAAAAGACTGAGAGATCCAGAGGAGGTTGTGAATGAGGTTGACTCTTCCTCTCATCAGTAAAGGCCCTGCGTCTCTGATACCAGGCTCAGAGCATCTACCAGTACTTCCTGTGCACCAAGCCCTGTTCTCAGTGCCTTGGGTGCGTTTAGTGATAGAGTCCTCATAGCCCCCTCAATTATTCCATTTTACAGATCATGATACTGAGGCCCAAAATTGTTAAATAACTTTTCAAGGACACCAACTTCTGAGAGGTGAAGTCAACATTAAACATGGCCTCGCTCCAGGTCCCTTAACCACTCCAGGTGCATTTCCTACTTTAGGTACCCTTGTTCTGCTGGTCCACCCCTTGGAGACATCTGAACTGGGAATATAAATTCTCTTTAGGGACTAGCGGGTTGTGTATAACTTTGCTAGTTCCCTTTGCAGATGGGATTTTGTGCCACTCTGGGCATTTTTGTGAGTGTTTCAATGAGAAAAATGAATCTAACCCCACTAGCAACTATCATCTTAACTCAGAAATCCTGATGGAATTCTTTGCATATAAACTTGATCTTAACGATCCTTCTTATTTTGTGGATGAGAACAAGGAAACCCAAAATGATTAGGCCACCTCCCCTGAGACATAGGACCAGGCATGGCTCAGAGGGAATGGGGACTTGTCCTTACCTAGTTTCTTCCCCACCACACTCTGCCAGGGAAACTCTCCCAGAATCTGGTCAAGTAGAAATACATCTGTCTTCCCTAACCTGCTCCCAAAGCTACATAGATCCTCAAAAGCCACAGGCAAGACTTGCTTTGATTTTATTTAGCCTGCTTTATTTCCTCTTTCACAGTAAAAATGGAATGCACACCTTTAACTGAGATTTTTCTCAAATTAGGCTGGGTGACAAATGTCTTTTTAAGCTCTCTTATTTGACATCCTATTAATTTTTTAAAACTCCCATTGTTCTCTTCCCAAAAGACCTGTTATATTTCAGATGTGAGACAAATGTACACTTAGAGGGAAACTTCTTTAATAAGCTCGTTTGCTTCAGACTACTGAGGTTATTTTAAAAACAAAAACCTAAGTACACACACCAGAATACTCAACGCATCATAAATTTATCTGGCTTATTTATTGATGGAGACTTCTGGGTTAGACTGTTATCAAAGCATAGGATAAATTGTTGAGTATGTAGCATTAATGATTCTCTTGGCATCTCCTTCCTACACAAAAAGAAGCTTTGCCGTTCTGGGGGGAGGCAGCCTCCCTTCCGGCACATGGGGGACAGGCCCTTGGAGGCAGTCCTGCCTCATGTAGAGCTCAGGCAGACTGCATTTAATTACACACGTCCAGAGTCCCCGAGCAGACACATAGATTGCAGAGACCAGGCGATGCTGCATCCCTACCAACACCAATTATGGTAAACACCAATTATCCAGACGTTAGCCCTTTAATAGAAGTCCTCTGAATTGGTTTTTTAAAGTCAGTCTCTCGTGGTGGAGCCAAGCAGGAGGAAAAAAAGACTGGAATAATTGGAGTCTGTTCTCTTTTCACTTCCCACATAAAATTATCTGAAGAGACAGGTCAGAACTTTAAACAGGAGATACCAAGAGAAGTTGTGATTTGGATGTCGGCTATTGTGACTTTAGGATGTTTGCTTGAAGATGTTCCCCTCTCCTCTCTCCACAGACGTACTTCAATGACAATATCCTCACCCTGATAAGGACCCTGGTGACCGGAGGGGCCACGCCAGAGCTCGAGGCTCTGATTGCTGAGGAGAATGCACTTCGAGGGGGCTATAGCACCCCCCAGACGCTGGCCAATAGGGACCGCTGTCGTGTGGCCCAGTTGGCTCTGCTGGATGGGCCGTTTGCAGATTTAGGGGTGAGCTCACAGCCCAGAGGACACCTGAGCACAGTGTTTGGGGAAAGCTTTTTCTGAATGAATTTGGTGTCAAACAGTGACAAACCAGACACCTGACTTTGTCTTCTCTACTATAAATAACTAAAGAATTGACCTACGGTTTACTGTGTATCAAGCACTGGTCCTTATATGTAGTCATTCATTTTAATACTCATGACCACCCTTTGATATAGGTTCTATTTCCACACCCTCTAAGCAACTGAGGAGGCCCCAGAGAGCCTGAGAACTGGCCCTGTTAGGAATTTGCACCAAGGCATCCTGGCTTCAGAATCCACTGGGCTTTCTCATACTTTAGTATTTTCCTTAGGGATATTATTACCCAAGTTGATGCCAGTCTGCTGCCATGGCTGGGAAACCTTCCCACAGGATCCTGGCATAGTCAGGGCTACTGAACCCTGACTCTGTTAATAGCACATAGGGATGCCTCGCTCCGGACCTCAAGATCAGAGTTTTTGATGAGCCTCAGGCAGTTTTCAAGGCACTCATGCATCCATGTGCATCCAGACCCCTGGCCAAACAGTGTTTCAAGTGGATCCTAAATGCTTCCGATTCAAACCTAGGTCTTATACTTCCTTAGACTGCACCTGTCACCCTCTGCCCTGCCTTCCCTGTGACTGACGGGACCAGCACTTGTCTTTGGGTGCTAGGCACCAGCTGGCACTGTGCACTTTGGCAGGAGTGTGCACTCTGTCCCCACCTCATTCCTAACCCACCCCCATGGAGTGGTTGGAGCCAGGAGTCTTAGGAAACTATAGCCTGTTGCATAATCAGTAGTGTTGCCCAGAAAGTCAAACAGTGGAAAAGGAGTCAAGAAAAGCATTTTTAGTTTTTTTCTAAAATATCAATGTCTAGTACTTGTACCATATTTTAGTTTGTAAGGGTCTGGGACTTCAGTTAGACTGTTTTGGTTTTTGTTTTTGTTTTGAAAGGGCACTTCCATAAATAGTGGCTTGTTACTTCTCATTTATTTACTGATACATTCAAATAGGATGGAGACTGTAAACAATGGTAAGATTGGGCCCCACTTTTATTCTATAATATGATGTCCCTATGGAAATTCCAGAGATAGGAAGGATAAATACAGTCCCTTTCTGCCAAGTGAAGCCATTCTGCAGTGTCCTTCCTGTAAAGCCCACCTGGAGCCACCTGGCTGCATGAAGCCAGCGTTTCCAAGTGAATGCATTTGCTCTCACTTTCCGAGTCAGGCTCCAGACCATGTGAAGGTGGTTGTGAACTGATTAGAACTGTGAATTCCAGTTATTCTTCCTGCAGACCCGAAGCTCCTGGGGAAACACATTCTCTTCCCCCTTGCCATCTCTGAGGTCTGCAAATTGTGCTTTTCACACAGTCCTTACCTAAAAGAGTCTGTCACCATTGGACCTGTTGGGGTCTTTTCCCCTCGCTGTGATTCCCATTATCACTTGGGCAGTTTTGACAACATGGGATCCAATCACAGTTGCCATGGCTGAGCTGGGGGCAAAATGTAATCACTGTTTTGCAGAGCTGGTTTCTTCTCAGTTGAACATACATCGGAAACCTTCAGCTTTACACCCTCAAGGGAGAGGCATAATCTCTTTAGAGCTCCATTGCTACAGATGGAAAAAGGGGAGGGACTCCAGAAGAAATACCCACTATTATCTGATCCTAAAATTACCCTTTTCAGCTGTAGGCAGTCAACTGTGTGACTTCTTCAGCCAAAGTCCCTTGGCCCAGACCCTCTGCTTCATGGGACGACAAAACAAGCTTTTATGGAAAGACTCTTTCCCCCCTGGACCTTAACTTCCAAGCACATAAAAATGATTTTTCTCTCTGTTCTCCCAGGATGGTGGTTGTTATGGCGATCTGTTCTGCAAAGCTCTGAAAACATATAATATGCTTTGTTTTGGAATTTACCGGCTCAGAGATGCCCACCTCAGCACCCCTAGTCAGTGCACGAAGAGGTGAGTGTCCTCCTACTCTGCTGGCCCACCTGATACAGACACACAGGTGTCCTCCTCTCCCCTGTCCCCTAACATGTAGGCAAAGGATGCATACATACTCTCCACAGGCAAAATACCCTTCCCACGTAAAATCTGACACTCAGTTTGGAAGTTATGGGAAACATTTTTCTTTACTTAATAGTGGATGTGAAGACATTGTGAAAAGAACTCACATTTTTTAAAATAGTTGTCATCCAATCACAAAAATCAGAACAGAGGCATCTCCCTCAAACTCAAGCTAATGGAATCAACTCTGTTGGTAGCTAATATAGAGATACTTCCACATTGCCAGTGTTTAAGAAAGATTCTTGGCTGTATCTTAGAATCCTCTATGTTTGTTTCATATATTTTTAATTGACTCTCTTTTACATTTTCATATATTTAATTTGAAGAAGAGTGTATAACATTATCTTAAGCAAAAAAACACAACAGTTTAGGTGTGCTAGTTATAAGCATTAAAATAAACATAGCTGGCAAAAACTAGGAGTGCATCCTAGAATTAACCAAATCAATGAGTTTGCATAATACACCCCAAGAAACAATACTATGGAGTTGTTTCACAACCCTGTATTTTAGAATCACCCAGAGAGCTTTTAAAAACTACTCTGAGGGGCTGAGGATGTGGCTCAAGCCGTAGCGCGCTTGCCTGGCATGCGTGCGGCCCAGGTTCGATCCTCAGCACCACATACAAGCAAAGATGTTGTGTCCGCTGAAAACTAAAAAAAACAAATATTAAAAAAAATTTCTCTCTCTCTCTCTTTAAAAACAAAAAACTTATTAAAAAATAAAATAAATAAAAATAAAAACTACTCTGACTCCAGGGAAAACATAAATGCATTCAAACTTTAATATATATATATTTATATAGTGAATGCCCAGGAATTATAGCATAGAGCCAGAGTTGACAACTGGGGTAGAAAAGTGGGTTCCCAAAGTTTAGGGAGCCTGAGAATGACCTACAGAGCTTATTAAGAACAAATTGCTGGGCCCCACTCTCTGATTCAGGAGATCTGGGTGGGGTTGCTTAAGAATTTGCATTTTGCAGTGGTTTCCAGGTGGTGCTGACCTGCCTGGCCTGGGAACCACAGTCTGAGATGGCTGCTCTAGAGGAACCATAATGATTATTGCAGTCATTCTGATGTGGACTGGAGAAGTCTGATGGAGGAGAGCAATGAAACAGAGTTGACAGACAGGCAGGAAGGACTTTTATATTCTTTCCTGCAGTAAAACTCCCACCAAGTTGATTTTTCAAAGATGAGAATGGTCTAAGGAGACCCTAGGCAATGGTAGCGCAAGCACCTGGGAAGTATGCCTGAGATTGTCAGGAAATTCTAGAAAGAAAGTTGCAGTGCAGTCTGTGACCTCTGCTGCATTTGGGTTACTCAGGATTAGAAGTGAAACTTGACCTCTTCTGGCCATAACAAGCACAGTTTTGTTCTTCCATTACCTGTTCTAATTTGGTGTCTGCCTGGGCTTGTGGATATGGCCACCTCTGATAAGTTAAACAGAGAACAATTTTTTTGAACTTGGAAGCAGATTTGAAGGTATTAGATCAACTGCAAGTACAGCTCTTAGATCCTCTGGTCAACTTGAGCAGCAGGCAGTGCTTTTGGGCTCAAGGGGTCTGGACTTCTCCACCAGATCACCCTCAGGCTGTGACATCTCTGCTTTCCCTGTCCAGGTATGTCATCACCAACCCCCCGTATGAGTTCGAGCTTGTGCCGACGGACCTGATCTTCTGCTTAATGCAGTTTGACCACAACGCCGGCCAGTCCCGGGCCAGCCTGTCCCATTCCTCCCACTCATCACAGTCCTCCAGCAAGAAGAGCTCCTCTGTTCACTCCATCCCATCCACAGCAAACCGGCAGAACCGGCCCAAGTCCAGGGAGTCCCGGGACAAACAGAAGTACGTGCAGGAAGAGCGGCTTTGATATGTGTATCCACCGCCACCATGTGTGAAACTGTATCTGCCACTCATTTCCCCAGTTGGTGTTTCCAACAAAGTAACTTTCCCTGTTTTCCCCTGTAGTCCTCCCCCTCCCTTTTTTTACACATATTTGCATATGTATGATAGTGTGCATGTGGTTGTCATTTTTATTTCACCACCATAAAACCCTTGAGCACAACAGCAAATAAGCAGACGGACCAAAAGTTATTTATGATTCTAGGGGAAAAATAACCCAAAGGCATGCTCCAGACATAAATAGCTCACTGCAGGAATGAGTTCACAGATTAGAAAGGAGCACTTGTGATCAAAGTCAGTTAGGCAAAGCAAGTTTATTTCATATACAAGAAAAGTTTATTCTGATTTATCAGGGTTATCAGGGTGCTTTGGGTTTTGATTTTTTGTTTTCCTTTTGTTCGCTCATTCTTTTTTTTTTGTACACACACAATAAGTTAGCACATGTTTATTTGAAGCAAGCAACCAAAAAGCAATGAAAACGTATCGATTGTTTCTACTCTCTGGGCTGAAGTATTGGGAAGCATCTGAAAAGCTGTCATGGTTTGTGTAGATGATTATTAAGCAGCTGCTTGTTGCAAGAAAGCATTGGAGGTTTTTTGAGTTACTCACCAAGGCCTTTTGTCCCAGAGCTAGAAGCTTCCTTTGGGAGTTCATATGAACATTTCTAATGTTAATACAGAGGAAAGGAGTAGTATTCCACTTGTGGATGTATCAAATTCTAGTCATTTAAGTGAAAAGAGGTTTGATTGCATATTAAATTGTTATTCTGTCTCCTTATGCTGCCATATGAATAGCTATTTTTTTCTTTCACTTTTGACATTTGGGATGAAAAGCCATATGTATCATAAATATCAGATGTAAGTCATTAAAAACTGCCTTCCTGGGACTTTTACATCTTTTAAAAGGTGAATTACTTACCTTATGTACAGAATAAATAATGCTTAGGAAAGAGCAAGTATTTTTCCATGCATTCTCAGGGGACCTTTTTACTCCCCTTTGTTTGGTTAGTAAGAACCCCAATGCCAGGTAGGAGCGAGGGCTGGGTGATAGTGGAGTGAGAGGGAGAAAAACCCAGCAGCAGAGAGTGTTTTTCTCGGAAATGACATGCTAAATAAATTAAGATGCAGAAGGATCAAGCCACCTTGGCCTCAACAAAGACAAAAGCCAGTGGCCACCTAACATTGTTGGCATAGCTGCATGATGTTGGCTATCCCCAAACATAAAGATGGTAGGGAGAAATTCCTCATCCTCCAGTTCATTAACAGCCAATTCACTTAGGCAGGTGGGTGACAATAATATCTGCTCCTTGTCATTACAAGATGGGGAATAAGAAAAGTACAACAGTGAGCCAAACACATTTTTGTACAGTTATAATTTTTTGTTTGTTTTCTTTCTTTAAAAAAAAAAAAACAGGAAGCATGGGGGAAAGGAAGAGAAATATCCTTCTTCCAACATAAAATTGTCAGATGTCTTAGGCTTGCATATCACACTTTAGGCAATGAAGTTGTTCTTAAAAATTGGCCAACTCTACCACAACCAAATTCTCCTATGGATGGTCTGGCTCTTGGCTGGTATAAACCTATTTGAGCTTTTTACTTAAAAAAACAAAAATCCATTGACTAGAATAGGGGTAGAAAGGAGAAGACAAGTGTCACATCTGTACCATCTCTGAAAAGGTGTTTTTATGGTGAATGTTTGGGGTTTAGATTTTGAATCCCCTGCCCCTTCCAGCATGATAGTTTTGGAGATTTGCTTGCTGTGTGGATTGACAAGCACTTTTACTGACAGAATGGTGAGGCTCAGCCAGAACCTCTACCTCCCCGCACCAAAGACAGGGGCAGAGCAGCATTTAAACCAGCAATCGGGTGGGGAAAAACTGTATACATGTATATTAAAAAGGGCTATGAGTGGAAGAATTTTTTTCAAATGATTTTGTCCCTATACATTTTGATTTATATGTTACGTATAATTATCTGTTTATATATAACTATATATATATGCACATATATATATATATAACTATATATACATATCCCCTAGTTTGGGATCATGAAGAACTCTTCATGCATTCTTTGCAAAGGAGGTTATAAAGTTACACCCTCAGAACATTTATAACTATAAGAATGTGCCAGTTAAAGTGCTCAACAGGAAATATGACAGTTTAAAAGCATTGTAAAACTCACATAGCTTACTTCTCTCTCTAAAGTGCAACAAGGATGAATAGAATGGGCCAAGGTATGACAATTAATGGTTCTGCATGACCTAGCCACTGCTGGGGGTTTTCTTCTATAACGTTGTCCTTGTGAAAAATTTTGTGAAATTAAAAAAAAAAAGGAGTTACAAATTTTATTCTGTTATTGGTTTGTTTATTTTTATTTATATTGTTCTGTTTGTGGTTTTATTTATTTTGTTTTGCTTTTGACCCCCTCCCCACCCCCAACCCTTTTCCCCTCTCCTTCTTTTCCCCCTCCTTCACTTTCTTCCTTCACCTTCTTAATTGCTCAGCGCAATGAGGCTATGCGGCTGCTATGGCTAGATTCCTTAGAGTTTGTCTTGGTGTTACTGGGTTTGGGGTTGGGTAATTTGGGGGGACCTCTCTCCATCTGGCTTGCCTTCGAATCTGCACGTGGCCTCCCTGCCCACCTTGGTACCTTGTTCCAAGTTCAAAAGCATTTTCCCATTGAGACACCCAGCTTCCTCCACTCCCCCCCATTACCACCACCCTAACCCAGCCCCCATCAGTCTGTTCACATCTCTGTGTTTATCTTGGCAAAAACTACCAAATTAAATGATGATGCCAGTGGATAAACTTTTCTGGAAAACATTCTCAGCTATTCCATTTGGCAAACTTACTTCTCTGTTAATATTTTCTCCTCCTTTTATTTAAACCAGGAGGGTCATTAATGGCAAAAGCATTGTTCTCCCTTATGTTTGATAGATACGATGACAGTTAAAACTGGTCAGCTGTATGGTCAATTCGAGAGCCCATACCCCATTAACTGGGGCTGATGACTCATTCTTGCTACTACCCAAGTCTCCTGCCACCTGCCTTTTGGGTGTGTTAAATTCCAACCAGAAATTGGGAAGATAGAAGTAAATGCAAAATATATCCCATGTATAATTCTTCAGCAGCTCTGATGAGTTGATATTGATATTACTGGAATGGGAACAGACTGAGATGGAATTTGGGGGTTTTCCTTGGACTTTGGACACACAATTCCCACTGTTAGATACTTGAAAAATGACCATATATTGATAATAACATATTTGATGTTGGAAAAGGGATCATGATTTCTTTTTCTTCTACTTCTTTTTCTCTTCTTCTTCTTCTTCTTCTTCTTCTTTTTTAGCTGAAATTTCTCTGTTATACTTTGTTTATTAGAGTGAAGACTCCTTCATTGTTTTCCATTTGTCCCCAAACTTCCCCTTCCTCTCAGGAGAACATTGTTTACTTAGGAAGGAGGCATACGAGTGTCTCATATTATGCCTGTCCCCTCACCCCTCCTCACCAAAATAAATAAACAAATAGGTAAGAGTAGAAAGGGAAAGAGTTCTTAGCAGGGAAATTATATGCATTATAAAAGAACAACATCTAGGAACTCAATGATGTGTCCAATTCTAAAAGAAAAATAATGTGTGAGCCATTCAATCCAATTTACTAACTCTTTGAAAGAGGAAAATGTTAAGGAAGCTGGTAGAATAGGAGACACAGGGAACCTTTGTCAGCCTCAGCACTCTGAGAACCATAGAGCCATCAACATCCCTTACGACTACTACAGGGTCCTTCCCCAAACCAGTTCAAATGTGTTCTTATGCATATAAATTTCTACCACTAACTGGGAGAAGTTGTAAACTCTGTTCTGAATATTTTATGTTGTGACCCAGAACCTTATAATAGCTGCTTAATAAGTATTTGAAAATAATTTGACCTTAAAGATTTTTATACCTTTAACTATTTTATAACTTATGCCTGTACCCTTGGCTTATCTTTAAAAAAAAAATTACAAGGATTGCCTGGAGGAGCTTCACAATGCTTCTCTGCCCATGTCAGTTTCTCCAGCTGGGTATGACTTCCAAGACAGGGAACAACCCTGTAAGCTCAGTGAATGGAAAGACAGACTGTGCCTGTTGGCAGCATTGTCAAGATCCCAGATGACCATAAAAACCTTTTGACTGGCTCTTCTTCAGCATGGGAAAAGCCTAAAGGTGTCTGCATCCCAATAGAGACAATTAAATCAACCTGCCAGGTTCCTATAGCAACAGGCTCCTTGAAGGAGAAACGGGAGAGTGTAGAAACTTCAGGGACTGTGGAAGTCAAGACAGGGTAAAAATCAATTCTCCATCAGCTTCTTTCAGCCTCTCCCTGCTTTGTCATAACATGATAAAGAAGTAGCTGTGGGCACCTGTCACTAACTGGTTGACTGTCTCCCAGGCAGAAATGGCATATTCGTTGCAACCATCACAGGTGAGAGGGATTATTCCCTGCCACCTGAGAGCAAAGAGTGAAGGGTCTGCCCTCAGGGTTTCAACCGGACCAAGGGCCAGAGAGGAGAGTTGGGAAGGGGCCGTTGGCTCTGCTCAGTGCATGGCAAAAGAGACAGATAGAGTCATCATGGACAATTGCAGAGAAATAAGATAAACAGAAAATGCTCTCTTTTTGGTAGACAATTTTTCATCTCTGTGAAATAGCCATGTTCTGCCCAGGCAGAGGAAAGGAGGTGTGTGTGTGGGGGGCGGGATTTGGTGGGGGCATCAGTTAGGTAGGCGGGGGAAGAGCACCAGACTGCCTGTCAGCAGTGTGAACTGTGAAGCTGCACAACGTTGCCCTTGAAGTTGGATTGCCTTGTTAGCCCTTATAGTTCTCCACCGTTATCTCCATCCAGATGGAATCTTTTCCTTCCATGTCTTTGCTCTGTAAACCCCAGCTTGTGGTGCACCAAGGAGAGGGCCAATTATTCCAAATGCCTTTGCTGTGTCATTGTCTCCCTCTTTCTTCAGTCTTCCTTGGGAAATAGTTCTGTGAAAAGGCTAAATCCCACAGCGCTGACAACCCACAGAGCCAGCAGAGGGTTCACTGTGCAGCTTGTGTCTTTCTCTGCTGCTGGTATTATCCCAAGCAGCTCAGCCTGCTCTCCATAGCCCACTCCTCTGGTTCTTGGTGGATATGCAGTTGTATGGCAGTAGGAAGCCCTGACCTTATTTTGAACCTTGTGATCTCAGGGATAACACTAGTGATAGGAGGTACAGATGGCTCTCTGGTGGGGAAGAGTGTCTGTCACCGGAAAGTCAATATTTCAAAGACAGAGAAACCTTAGAAGGGTTACAGCCCTGAACACTCCCACATAACACAGGTTACCCCTTCCTCTCCTTCACCTTCCAAATGGCTGCCCATCAAATCCTCCTGTGTCATCTCTGTGGCCACAGCCACATTCATCAGGCTAGCACCCCAATTTGCACACCATATTTCTCTACCCCAGATTATCTGCTGAATACTTCATTTGTAATTGCATCCAAAAGATACAACCCGTCCTTATCTCCTCCTCCATCACTGACAGTACTCATTAGTGCCAACCTTATGCCAAAAGCTGATGCCCAGCGGTTGCCAGGGGCCAGGCACTCTTCTCTAGACTTCATGCATATTAGCATGTTCACTCTTCTCCCTCAGCACAGACGGAGGTGCTGCCAGACTCTCTACTGGACAGGTGTAGAATCTGCAGGACACGAAAGTCTGTGAAGCTGGCCACTGTCATAACATGTCCCTAACATTCTTGAAAATGTTCCCAGCCTTAGCGTCTCACATTCACTTACCACATAGCTGGGCCTGTGGGGAGGGCTTTGTGGACACCAGTTCCATTGATCTTTATGATAACTTTGGCAAGGTTATAGCTTCCACCCTGTTCTGCAGCACAGAAATGATGCTGAGATAAACAACACAATAACTTGTTCAGAGCCATGCAGCTAGCTCGTGTGAGAGCCAGGTCCACTTGACTTTCACCTGCTCCCTGACACCTTTTTCCTGCCAGCTCCTCATGGAGTGTCCATGGTGGACAGCTTCTGGAATAGCTAGTCTGGAGAGGTGTCTTCTCCCAGTGGTCATGTTGGTGACCATTACCGTGTGTCCTCTGAGGCATCTTTTCATCAAAGGTCTTGACATTTTAGCAGTTATTGTCCCAACTTCATTTTTGTTATGCCAGTCCACTTGGCAATAACTAGGAGATGCAATTCCCTCCCTAACTCCATTAACCACCTGTGAGAGAAAGCTCCTGGCAGGTCACACATCGAACTGAGAGTGATGACATCATCCATCTCATCATCAAGAAGCTTATGGACAGATGGCACTATTTTCTTCTGACAATAAAGTGGCCCTCACAACCAGGTCAATTGCCCTCAGAGATGAAAGGAAGCACTCAAGGATCTTCCTGGCACATGGGAAAAGGCAGAGAGTGGAGAAAAACTCAGGGATTTGGATTTATTCTTGACCATGTCAGGCCTTACTTGAACTCCTCATCTTAGTCCTCTTCCATGTGGACAATTCTGTAGGTAGAGTTTCTTCTTTGGAAGGCAAGATTCAATAAGCCAAACTATCACTGTCATACTCAATGCACTGTCCACTGAAGCCGAGTAGCTGGCACCCACTTCCACACACGTTCTTCTGAAGCTCTTCTGGGGGGAGGAGGCATGTCTTCATGAAGGACCTTTGCCACCAGACATTCAATTTCCTCAGCATCCATTTTAACCACAAATCTACACACACACACACACACACACACACACACACACACACACTTACATCCTAAAATCATCCCAATGAAACAGCTGTTTCTCAGGCATAGAGAAATTCACCTCTTGACTGGGAGGGGCTTTCACATCGCCCCTTGTTTGTGCTGAGGCCGCAGGGTCAAACACGGGGACTACTTTGTTTATATTTTATTTATTTATTTATTTTTAGGCAAGACATTTAAAAAGAAAGAGAGAAGAAGCTTAAATGGAGAAATAAAGCTCTCTTTCTTGCAGGCAGCAGAAGGAAATTGATATTCTCTCTGCGGTGAAAGGCCAAAATGCCATCTTTGAAATTGAACTGTAAAGACTAAATTCTGAACAATTATTCTCTGCAGCAGTTGTAAAAATTTCAGCAAATTGCAGCTGTCTTAGGTCTTTCACCCAAAAGACCTCCTCGTTTCCATCAGCAGAGTTCACTCTTCCGACCTGGCATGTCCAACCTAGCACTAAATCCCCTTACAAAATCATTTCACATAACAGGACAGCCACAGCCAACGGCAGCTCAGGAAAACAGAGCACAAACACCAGACTCAACTCCAAACATCATCTTTACACATAAACCGTTTGAA